TTGAGTTAGTTTTTGTGTATGGAATGAGGTATGGATCTTGCTTGAGTTTTCTACAGATAGTTTTCCACTTTTGTTAACACCATTTGTTAAAAAGGCTGTTGTTTTCCCACTTAACTGACTTTATCTCTTTGTCAAAAATCAATTGACCATACATACGTAGATGAGCTGTTTCTGGATTCTCTATTCCTTTGATCTGTGTGTCTACCAGTACCACACTGTCTTGACCACCAAGGCAGTGTAGTAGGACAAAATTGTTTTACTAAAGTACTACTTAAATTATTTTACTTCCAGTAACATTGATGATTATTTACTAGTCTGTATTATCTAGTCCTACAATTTTTCTTTCTTGATTGCTATTTGACCTCAAACAGCTCTGTTGTCTTAACTGTACTCACTGCAGTTGGGTTTATTAGGAAGTAAAAAAAAGAAAATAACAGGTTCAGGAATGCTTAGGATGCAGTTCCACAGAGCCTATCTGATCAGGAAAATGCCTTTGAAAGGATTTTTGAGAGTAAGTGCATGTAATGACAAAGGGAATAAAAATTATATAATTTAATATATTTTGCATAGATCCTTTTAAATTTTGAAGAGGTTCAGTTTTAAGCCTATATTCTTATACTAGCCTAACTAATTAGCTGTGAAACCTTTTTTATGTCTTTTTACTTCTCTAATTTTTCGTTTTCCTGCTTGTAGAGTAAGAGATGGTTTTTAGATACCCATTACTAACCATTTGAAGATTTTGTGAAATGTTTGTAGTTCAAGATCCCTATGTGATAATTACTTTCATTGTATATATGCTTGCTTTAATGAGTATATTTTACCTTGGTTTACAATTTTGTCTTCTTTTCTCACAAGATCTCAGTGGTTCAATAGCATCTCCAGATGTCAAATTAAACCTTGGTGGAGATTTTATCAAAGAATCTACAGCCACTACATTTCTGAAACAGAGAGGATATGGCTGGCTTTTGGAAGTTGAAGATGATGATCCTGAAGATAAACCACTCTTGTATGTAAAAAAACAATATGATTTATAAAATGTTATTTGATACCATCTGTAGGATGTTACCTGAAAGAAAGTTTGGAAGACCTTAGTTTTTTTTGGCCAAAAGCTACTGAAATTTTCACTTTTACTGGTAACAAAAAAATGATGGGATTAAAATTATTTTAACCTACTGAATGGGAATATGTAAAGAATGGTAATGCTGTATCCCACATACACACATGCAAAATAAGTATACCACTTTCAGGATTTACCATGGCCTGTCTGGTGCTTCAATATAGACATGCAGGGTAAATTTTAAAAACATACTTTGGTAGTTACTATAGAAATTATGGTTTAAGCCAAACTAAGACTTCAAAGATGATTACCATGCAAATATCTTCTATGTAGGAATTTTAGAGTTGCCACTGGAAGTAAAGTTATAGGAAGAATTTCTTTATCTTTTTTTTAAAAATAATTTTAATGAGCATTTACAGCGATTTTGGATTTCCATTCATTCATTGCTGCACTTCTCTCCCTGGAAGAATTTCTTTTTCTTAGTACTGGAAATATTTCAAATTATTATGTATCACTTGAAAAGTAAATAAATTAACCATTTTAGAAAGAACAATCTATAGCTTTTTAAATTTAATTTATTAGCAATTTTTTGTAGTATATTTGTAGTGGTTCATATTAGATTGTTTTGAAGTACAAGACATTCATGTTTCTTAATGTTAATATACAATATTTTAGAAAATCAGTGACACCTTAGTGTAGTCATTTTATGTACCATTAAGAAAGAAGATGTGCCAAAGGCTCTGAGACATCAGAGGGTTATATCTACACTCTGTGAGTGAATGAGAGATCATTTACCATATAAATAGCAAACTTTGCCTCTCTGAATTTGACAGTGGGATGATGGAAAGGAATCTTGGTTGCTTAAAGATTTCAGCTGCTAACCAGAAGATTGACAGCTGGAGCTCACTAGCTGCTCCAAGGGAGAAAGATGTGCCAGTATGCTTCTGTAAAGGATTTAATTTTTGGAAACTATATGGGCATTTATGTTCTGTCCTACAAGATCTCTAGGAGTTGGCCGTGAATGAGTTGCTGGAAGAGAAAAAACTTGCCAAAAAATTCTCAGAGTTTTATTTAACAATGTCTCAAATTGCTAGTACCTCCAGGAGACCGACAAAAATAACTTCTCTGAAGAAGAAAACCAGCTTTTGAAACCCTTTGTGGTTTCATTCAAGACTGATGAGTTTTAAGACGGTAGCTATTAAGGAGATGAATAGTAGCTCATAAGATGGTTAGGTACATACTTTAAAACAGGGAAATATAGTACTTAAAATAGAAATGTTTTAGTGACCTAGGGAGACCATACTCTTACATTTACATTTTATGTTGTTTTGTAGTTATTGCTGTATTCAGAATTATGCCTTTTGAGAATTTTTATTTTAAAATTGTAGGGAGGAATTGGATATTGACCTTAAGGATATTTACTACAAAATCCGATGTGTTTTGATGCCAATGCCATCGCTTGGTTTTAATAGACAAGTGGTGCGAGACAATCCTGACTTTTGGGGTCCTCTGGCTGTTGTTCTGTTCTTTTCCATGATATCATTATATGGACAGTTTAGGGTAAGTATTTCTTTTTTTAATTAAAATTATAAATATTTTTATTTAAAAGTTTACATAGCTAAATATTATCTATACTTAATATATTTGAAAAATGTTTTCTCTTTACCTGATATTTCTTGTTCATCCTAAAAACAGTTAATAATTAAGTGGGAAATATTTTAGTTCAGTACTTTTTAACCTTTCCCCCATTTATATAGAAGATGTTAATATTTGTATGACATGCTAAAGTAGGTGGATGGAACTATTTCTGGCTGACCACAAGTGTCCATTCTTTGTTGCCCATGTTCTGACATCCCTATGTGATAAGAAACTTGAAACACAAAACTCATGCTACTGCCTATTATTAATTTTTAATTCTGTTTCTAAAAAAAATATTTTAAGTAAATGATGGCAAAGATTCCATTAGTATTTCTTTTTTTTTTTTTGCACAAGCTTTACATTTTATTTAAAGCACCATTAGTATTTCATTTTAAACCACTTTTGGTATTTTAACCACTATGTCTTATTTTCAGAGACTTTATCATCAAAATACTCACTTCGAATCCTTATTTTAAGACTAAGGAAGTTATGTTACCACAGAGTCCTTTGGAAATGTACTTGTTTCTTGTTGCTGTTATGACACGTTGCTATAAATTTCATAGCTTAAGACAATATAAATGTATCCTCAGGCAGTTCTGGAGGGCTAAAAATCAAGATGCTGATTAGGACTGATTTCTGCTGGAGGCACCAGAGGAGGACCTCTCACTTCTAGAGCCTTCATGCATTCCTTGGCTCCTGGCCGCATTAGTCTCTGCTTCTGTAATAACATTACCTTCTCCTATACTAGAGTCAAGCTTCCCTCTTATATCTGCCTCCTGCATGTAAATGTATGGAATTACATTAATGCCCCACCCAGATAATCCCATATTTAGTTGTTATAGTCAACTCTGACTCTTAGTGATCCAATGTACAACAGATTTAAACTTGCCTGATTTTTTACCATCCTCACAATCTCTAGTGTTCTTAAGCCCGTTGTTGCAGTCACTGTGTTGTTCCATCTCCGTAAGGCTTTTCCTCTCCTTTGCTGATCCTGTACCTTTCCAAGCATAATGTCCTTTTCTCGTAATTGGCCCTTTCTGATAACATGTCTAAGGTATGTGAGATGAATTCTCAACACCCTTGCCTCTAAGGAACACAGTTCTTTGGAGACAGACCTTTTACCTATAGTATATTATATTAAAACACCACAATTCAACGGCATCAGTTCTTTGAAGATGCTCCCAGACTTCCAATGGCTCATGTGGATACTCTGAGGGCTAACTGAAATAATATACCAGAGGCCTCAGTGACAACTGGGCCACACGAGTAATGGTGTCAACTGTTCGTGGGACACATATTCCCATTTATCCATGACATAACATTCTAGCCATGGTGGTTATAGGGGGATGGCAAGATGACTCAAGGTTATGGACAGGCTTGAGGAGGCCAGGCAAGGACCCAAAGGTCCAGGGCAAGTTGGTTGGAGAAAGTGGAAGATGGGAATAGAAAGTGAACTGCATGGGGATTCACGGGTAGAGCCTTTGAAAGATGAGATTCATCTTGTGCAATGGGAGTAGGTGGGTAGCACCTCTTTACTACTCCCAGCGCCTGTGGACTACACACACACACACACACACACACACACACACACACACACACACACATCTGTGCCACATAGATCCTGAGGTATGCCATGAGTGCCCAACCATAAGTTAATGACCCAGGGAAGAGGAAAGAAGAGTACACTGGTGCCAGAGATAAGGCACCACCTTACTTGTTACATCTTTTTTTTTTTTTTTGGTGTTTCATCATCTTATATTTTTATAAGCAAGGAATGAATGAGTATATCTTTTACTTTTTTCAAAGGAACAGTCTTCTTAATTATTCAAATAATGTGAACCTATAGGTATTTATTTTATTCTCATGAATCAGAATCCAGTACTAAAATTTATGTTCTTGTTTATCTTGTTTTAACATGAGCCATCGTGAGCCCCTTCATTTTGGTATCCTTTCAACATATCCCTATCGTTTTTGAGCACTTCCTTACTTCCTGGCCCTTTATAAGTCTCCAAAATTCATCTTGTATTTTCTCTTCTTCAGTCTTAGAGTCACCATTTTTCTAAGGAGTGTTGCTTTCTTTTACTGAGAATAATATTTAGAAACCACCAAAAAGTTGGTTCTGCTTACAGTAACCTTCTATCAGGTTTCTGAATCATTAGGTCCTAATGGAGGAAACTGCTCATCTTCTCCCTCAGTCACTGGTGAATTTCAACCACCAGAGATGTGCAGGCTTTAGATTAGCAGCTCACTTTGATACAGATTGTGCTACCAGAGTTCTTTTGTTATGTACTGTTGAGTGGGAACCCATCCTTAACTGACTGGAAGGAACCAGACCTTCCTGAGGGTGGTCAGGGGCTGTAAATTGTATGGGAGGAGATTCCCTATCAGTCTCCCATGGAGCGGCTAGTGAATTAGACCTGCCAGCCTTTGGGTTGGCAGCACAACTCTTTACCCACTAAGCTGCCAGATTTGGATAGTAAGCATGCTTGTAATGGAACTTGCTGGGAAGGTAGAGGCTCAGGGAAAAGAGGAAGATTCTCAGTGAATTGTGTTAATGTAGTATCACTGGATTTAAGCATGGCAGAACCATGAGGATGGCAGAGTCTGTGCTTCATAGGATTGTTACGAGTCACAGGCTGCTCAGTAACACCTAACAACCTATTGCTACTGAGGATTCTTTGTTTTAGGCCCCCTACCCGACCCTGACTACAAAGCTGGGAGAGGTAAAGTTAAGTTGTCTGCAATGTCTTCCTTGTTAACTGGATAGGGAGCCTTGGTGGCATAGTGCCACATGTATAGGGTTCAAACATAAAAGTCATGCTCAAATATCAGAGGTTTAAACATTCCAGCTGATCCTAGGAGAAAGATGGGCACCTCTTTCCATAAAGATTTACATTGGAAACCTGATGGAAGGCCACTATTAGTCAGTATTGACAAGACAAGGATGAGGTATATTTTTTGGTTCGATTTTTTTTTTAAATGTAGGTAAATGTAGGGAGCTCTGCAATCCCAGAGGTACATGGTTTGAATCCACCAGATGCTCTGTTGAAGAATGAGGGCCAATCTCCTCCTGTACCAGTCAGATTCTATTTGATGGTACACACACAAAATAATTTTTTAAAAATGTAGATAAATGTGTAAGTACTAAGCATTTTGTAGCCCTCTAGAGACTTTTCTCACTTAATTTTTATCACAGAATGCTCTACACCAAGGGATTGGAATCAGGGACTTGTTCTCCTTCTTTCTTCCCTCCAATACTCTTTTATCATAGATCTTGAAATGCAGAGGTTTGTTAAGCAATTAGTAATTGCTAAGTTTTAGACTCAATCCTTCTTGCTCCAAGGGGAAAAGATGGGCAATCGTCTGTGCGGTTTGCAGCCTTAGAAACCCAATGATGGGTCAATGTTGAGACAGTTCCAACTCAAGGGTAAAAAAATTTTTCAAAATGAGTATAAAATTGTTTTGAACAGTTTATTCTTACAAAGTTTTGGAGAGAACTGGGGAAACCCGTCAACTTTTCTGTGATCTGAAATTGGATGTGTCAGGCTTACCTTATGTGGATGACTTGAGTTCCTGGAAAGTTATGAGTTTATTTGGTAAAGACAAAGATACTCATTACATTGAATTTTTTTTCTCTCTCTCTCTTAAGGTGGTTTCATGGATTATTACCATTTGGATATTTGGTTCTCTAACAATTTTTTTACTGGCCAGAGTTCTTGGTGGAGAAGTAAGTAGTTAATTTTTAAAATATCTCTTGTTTTTTAATAGTAAGCTTTATTTATGGTATTGTAGGTAGATTTAATAACTAAATTCAGTATAATGATATCCTAGATTTCTTCTAAATTGTTTGTACTCTTAAAATAATTTATTATGCACTAAGTTAATACTAAGCATACTCTATAAATGTTACAAAAAGTGAATTGGGAAGAAACTATCCTTTCCTACTTCATAAACATTTATGACTTTTTAGGGAAGCGTATAATTTGTTCTTTTTATAACAGAATTTTAGATCTCAGCTTTCCCAAAGTTTTGTGGTGTGTGTGTGCTGACATTTTATTTTCAAGTTATTTTTCCCCAAAAGTTTTTAAGTGATTTATATTTATCACTCATATACATAAAAACAAAATCTTTCAGTATTTATTCATTAAGGAACCTATTGGTACAGTGGTTAAAGCACTTGGCGGCTAACTGAAAGGTCATTGGTTCAAATCATCAGCTTCTGCACAAAAAAAAAGGTGAAACAGTCTGCTTGTTTAAAGATTACTGCCTTGGAAAACTTATGAGGCAGTTCTATAGTCTGTTGTACAGGATCATTATGAAGCAGGATTGACTCAGTGGTGTTGGGGGGTTTTTCATTAGTAATAACAGATTGATTGCATAGTAAAATAATTTTTTTAAAAAAACTGTTTTCCATAATGAACAAGTTACGAGAAGAGTGACGTTGCTTTCTGTTTTTCCTATTGCTTTACATCTTCTCTGGTTAAATTCAGTGAAAAAGGAAATAAAGGCCTCACATAGTTACATTATTGGAAAAGTTCATGCCTTTTCAAATAATTGTTGATAGTCTTTGATTCTTTGTACCAATTTATCAAGTACTAGTTTCTTCAAAATTTGTTTTAGTATGGAACCTGAAATCAAATCAGTGAACTTTTCATATTTTATTAAAATTCATTTTACTTAGATCTTTTTAAGCCAGGCAGAACTTTGTAACATAACATTAGTCTTTTGTTAAATTTTTGTTCATTGAATTATGAAGATATTTCAGATGTTGATACGTTATTAACATTTTATTATACAGGACTGCAAAATCACATTTATGATTATCACTGTCTTTTTCATCAGAATAGTCTATTGGACAATTACCAAGCTTATAGTGATATATATTTTTTTCCCCAAAATTCTAAGTTTAGCTTGAAAACGCAGATTTTATTATTTGCAACAAATACTACTAATTGTTTCCCCTTAAGTGGCAGGCCCATTTCATTTTCAAAAAATACCAGCCATTATCCAAGTCTGAATTATAGTTTGTCAGTTGTTCTTTCAAGTAAAAATGCCATTCTGTGAAAAACAGGTAATTCACTGATTCACACAAGTGCTCTTCCTTGGGATAATTCTTGAACTTGGACTCTTGAATTTTTGAACTTGAATATACTTGAATTCAAGAATTCTTGAATTTTTGAACTTGAGCATAGAGCAGAAATTCTTACTGTACTTCCTGTTTTGCCACACAGAGTAGTAAAAAGATAAGTGGGGGTTGTTGTTGTTGTTATTTGCCGTCGAGTCGCTTGCGACTCATAGCGACCCTATGTACAACAGCCCTAAACCCTTCTCTATCATGTGCCAATCGCACTGCCTCTGACACACCCATCCCGTTTACCCCAGTCACTGAATCAATCCACCTCAAAGAGGGTCTTCCCCTTCTGCGCCATCCCTCCACCCTCCCAAGCATGATGTCCCTCTCCAAGGATCTCTCCCTCACAACATGTCCAAAGTATGTCAGACAAAGCCTCAGAATCCTTGCCTCCAAGGAGCAGCCTGATTTAACCCTCTCTAGGATGAATCTGTTTGTTTTCTTGGCAGTCCAGGGTACATTCAGTACTCTTCTTCAGCACCACAGCTCAAAGGCATCATTTCTCCTTCTGTCCTTCTTAGTCATTGTCCAACTCTCTGATGCATAACAAGTGGTTGCAAAGACCATAGCCTGTATCAGACACACCTTAGTCTCCAGAGTGACACCATTGCTCTTCAGTACCCTGGAGAGGTCCCTAACAGCAGACTTTCCCATCGCAATACATTTTTTTATTTCCTGGCTACTAGTGCCAAGAGTCAACACCGTGGAGCCAAGCAGACTAAAGTTGTTAACAATCTCAATCTCTTCACTATCCATCCTGATGCTGCCAGTTGATCCAGTGGTGAGAATCTTTGTCATCTTGACATGGAGCCTCAATCCATACTGAAGGCTGCAGTCCTTGACCCTCTGCAGCAAGCATTTCAGGTCCTCCTCAGTTTCAGCAGGCAGGGTTGTGTCATCTGCATAACGCAGATTGTTAATAGATCTTCCACCAGTGCTGACACCACACTTCTCCTCATAGAACCCAGCCTCTCAGATAATCTGTTCTGCATACAGGTTGAAAAGGTAAAGAGATAGGACACATCCCTGGCATACACCCTTCCCAATTTTGAACCATGCAGTGTTTCCTTGCTCTGTTCTGACGACTGCCTCTTGGTCCAAGTATAGGTTTCGCATTAGAACTATCAAGTGTTCTGGGATTCCCATTCTTCTCAGAGTCAGCCACAGTTTGTTATAATTTGGGGTAAAATAAAATTAATTACCTTTTATTGCTTTATCAAAGACATTCTTAAGTGTACTATAAAGAACACAATAACTGCTAGTGCAGTTTGTTTCCCACCATTGCTTTTGCACAATTAGTGCAAATAGCAATCCAAAGAAAGGGGCAAATAATAGCATATTAATATTACTATAAAGATAAGGTTTTTTTTAAAAAAAGATAGTTTTTTTGTTTGTTTTTTTAAAAAAGATAGTTTTGATGGGTAATTAACATTGCATTGGAACAGATGAGGGGGAAAACTGTCCCAAAAGAATATATGATTAGATTATATGTATGAAAACAGTCTGGAATAAGAGGGCATTGCAAAGTGGACTGGAAAAAAGGGAGGGGGAGGTGAAAATGTACAGCAGTGAATGAATGAAAACCCAGCCTTTCTGTAAACTTTTGTTAGAATAAAGCAAACAATTTTTACAATATAGTCTTCTGAAATGGTCGTTAGTGCCCTGCTGGGTCGCACTTTTAGAACCAGCCACAATTTTATTAAATAAGAACTTCTAGTATTCTCTATTTTTTGGTGTTCATCAAGTTGTAACTGACCCTCCAGTGGGTTTTCAGAGGCAGTAAATCACACAGAAGAAGATTGCCCATTGTTTTTCCATGGAGCAGTTGGTGGGGATGTGTTTGAACCGTGTGCCTTTGGTATTGTAGTTTCTGACCACTAGGTCAATCAGAGCTCCCTGTTTATTCTGTAGACAGAGTAGAACAAAGGAATTTGAGGTAGAGTTATGAGGTGAGCACTGGCTTAACACGTTGCCGCAAATGATGGCAAATGTGTTTCTAAGCACGGCCGTCAATTTTAAAAGTGTGCGGCAATGTGTTGAATCAGGTTGACTAAGACTACTGAGTGCTAAATGCAGAAATTTTGAGACATTTTTCTCACACTTAGTGGGAATGGTCTGTCAAGTCTGTTATTTAGGTCTTACCATCTCCTTTCTAGCTTCTAAAATTATGTATGCTGCTCTTGATCTTTTCTTGGTATGTTATTTGTTGTTGTTAAATGCTGTCGAGTCATAGGCAATTAATAGGGACCCTGTGAACGAAAGACCTGAACATTTGTATAATTCATCGTTTCTCCAAGTTCATAGAGTTTCTGGAGGCAAGCTATTTCGGAAGTAAATGCCCCTCCTGCTTCCAAGCTTGTTTTAATTGGGAAGCTTTACCAAACACTGTCCACCATGGGTAACCATTATCACATTTGACACGAGTGTCACAGTGTTTAGCATCACAGCAACCACACGTTACTCTGTATAGCAAATGGACAGACTAGTGCTATACCACTTAGAAGAATGTTAGCTATAATCTTATTAAAAAAAATTTTGTCCCCTTCCCCCCTTCTTTTAGTGGAACTTAAGGAGACAGTGTTCAAAACAACACCTTAACCTAGAAATCACAAATAAATTTAAAAGAACTTTTAATTGGTAAACTTTTTAATCTAGATAGGGAAAAAATTCTAATAGAGACCTAAAATTACATTTGTTTATATAATATTTTTATACTTTTTATAAAACTTAGCATAATATTTATTTGAAATAAATTATGAAAAATATTTTGGCAGCATGGAACTATAGGAATACCTAAGATGCCTAGATTTAATTTGAACTTTGCCACTTAACCAGCTTACTTTTCTGAGCAAAATACTTCATAGAATTAATTTCTTCATAATAAAGACTGTCTTAACGTTCTAGAGTGCTGCTATAACAGAAATATCACAAGTAGAAGGCTTTATAGAACATTTATTCTCACTCAGTTTAGGAGGCTGGAAGTCTAAATTTGGGACACTAGCTTTAGCCTTTTATCTATTGATTCAGGGGGAAGTCCTTGCTCCTTTCTTCAGCTATTGGCCTTGCATTCCTTGAGATTGTTCCATATGGCTTGACAAGAACCTTACCCTGGTTCTAGGAGGTTTTCTGCATAGTAACCCCAAGTCTAAAAGATATTCCTAGCTCTTTTTGGTGGTACTGAGCTCCCTCTCTACTTGCTTTCTTCATCCTGTATTTCTTGAGAGCTTTTTTCTTGTCTTTTATAAGAGATTAAATGTGGTGCAGGCTACATCCTGTGAAAACTCCCCTTATATCAACTCAGGGCTAGGACCTGAAGAAGAGTATAATTGGATACCATTCTAATCTTACTCAAACTGATCAGCTGCTCGAAGGGAATGATTGTACAACTGCCAGGTTGTATCATTTATATAATTGCTCATTCACTGAGCATCATGCCTTAGCCAAGTGGATTTATTTTGGCGGAACACAATTCAGTCAATGATGGTTATAATACCTGCTTCATAAAGTTATGACTTCCATTGATCTTCACAACATGTGAAGCTTGGCCAGTAGACATGTCATTAAGGCTAAGAAAACTCATTGCTCTGCAGGTTGGTTCCAGCTCTTAGCAACCTTCTATTGGGTTTATGCCAGACCTTCTCATTTGAGGCTGCTAGTAGCTTAAAACAGCAAGAGGCATGTGTCATCTAGGTTAGCAGCAAAACTCTCTACAGACTGTTGTTGTGTACTATCAAATAGCAAACCTCGTAGCTGACCTTCCAACAAATTTTCTGTGGTAGTTAATCGCACAGCAGAAAATTGCCCATCTTTTCCCTGCAGTGCAGTTGGTAGAGCTGAACCAAGTGCATTTGAGTTGACAGCACAACTTCTTACCACTAAGCCACCAGAGCTCCTTCCCTATTGACTAGGTCACTAGAAATCCCATATAGACATAATGATGTTGTTGTTGTTAGGTGCTGTCAAGTCAGAAATAACTCATAACTGACCTACAGTGGGCTTTCAAAAGCTGTAAATCACACAGGAAGTGATTGGTTTTCTTTCTTCTGCTAAGCAGCTCTTGGATTTTAACTGACTACGTTGGGTCGACAACGCAGCTTCTTACAACCAGACCACCAGAGCTCTCCTTATAAATATGTTGTTGTTTTTAGGTGCTGTTGAGTCAAATATGACTCATAGTGACCTGATGAATAAAAAATCTGAACCCTGTTCTATCCTGTACCACCCTCAGACTGTCTGACACACAAGAGCCAGTTGCAGCAGTCACTGTGTCAATCCACTTGGTTGAGAGTCGTCTTCTTTACCGACCTTCCACCCTTCCCAGCATCATGTCCTTCTCCAAGGAATAGCCCCGCCTAGCAATATGTCCAAAGTATATGTAAGGCGAAGCTGCATCGTTCTTGCCTCCAAGGAGCACTCCAGCTGCACCCTAAAAATATTTTTCTTCAACTTTTCCTCATCCTTTCTCCCTGTCCATGCTGCATTTGTCACCTCTAGATTCTCTAGACCTTGTGTTTTTTTCATTTGTTCTGCTAAGATTAATAGTACACTATTTGTGAGAAGTCTCAGGTCAGCATAGTCCCAAAAGCTTAACTAGCTATATATAAATCCGTAATTTCAAACAGTTCTGTACATAGGTAAGTTTCCCAGTTCTTTTTTTTTTTTTTTTAATCCTTTTTTTGTGTGTGTACCGTCAAATCAGATCTGACTGGTACAGGAGGAGAATGCCCCTCCTTCTCCAGCAGAGCACCTGGTGGATTCGAACTGCAAATGTCTGGCATTGCAGTTGCAGTTTCTTGCTACTAGGCCACTAGAGCTCCCTCTCTCAGTTCTTCTATGGCCCTTGGGTCTAGGTTCACTAGGTTTCCCAGCAACTCAAACCTGTCAGGACAGTGACTCATGTGATCGTAGGTATGCAGGTGGTTTTGGAGAAACTGGTGAGTGATGGGCCAGGATCTTGTAAAATGTCAGTTGTAGCACAGCTAGATGGCGACTGTGGGTGTTACAAGCTGGTGTTGTAGAAACTGGGGAGCAGCTGGAAGCTATATCACAGGCGAGCACAAGTGTTTTCCAGAAGAGAAAAGCACCTCCCATCCTAATCCTGTCTCCCTAGAACAGTAATACTTCAGCAAAAAACGAACAGTTAATATTTTGGCTAGGAAAGACAGTTTTGAATGATAAACCTTAGACACCCAGAGTCCACCCCCTAGCTTTTCTAACCATCACCCTAATGCTTGAAATCAGATTTCGCCTTACAACCATCATAAGAACTGTATTCATGCCTTAATCTTCCCCATTTTAGTTAGCCAATTTCTGATTTGCCCCTTTCTATAAAACCATTTCTCTGAAGAAAACAAGGATGTTCCTTTCTCTAAAGGTCCATTTAGAACATTTAGCATCTGTATCCCTAAGCAAAGTTCAGTCAAGAGCAAGTCAGGTTGCAGCAGTCTCCAGTAGCTCACACAGCTTGAGATATCTTCATCTGCTTGGGCTCTGGTCAGTTCATCTCCAGTCATCAGTTGCTGGGTCCAGGTAGTCAAGGGCTGCAAACTCGGGAGTTCATCCTTCTTCCCATCCTTCATCCTTCTAACTTTATTTCAAACCAAATGGTTTCTTCCAAAAAGCTGTGAGGCTCAAGGCTAAGGTACCTGTGTGCAGATTTTGGGAGCTATTTTTACTGTATTCTGTTCTTTATCTGGTTTTGAACTTTTTTACTTCCCCAATAATGTTCTGTGTGGGCTGTGAGCTATTGCATCAGATTTTTGACCCAGCAAATCAGTAATATTGGTGTTTAAAAGAGTAGAAAGAGGTTGGGGAGGGGGGGGCATGTCTATAACCTCATGGGAATTGGTTTTGTGTTATTGATGCCGTTGACAGAAACAGTTCCCTTTGTGAAGTTGGTATAGGTCAGATACAACTTTCCCCACATAGCCCTTGCTCTTTTTATACCTTAACTGTTTTGTGTGTTTTTTTTAATCTGAGCAAGATAATTGTGGCCCTTTTCAATAATTGTCCTTGAATTAGTGACAGATTGGATTTGTAAATCTGAAACTCCAAGAGAGATAAGGACAAGAAGTATAAACTTGGAATCATCAGAAAACTGATGATCATTGAAACAGTATTGGTGGTTGTTCCCAGGAATATAAGAGAATAGTAATTCCAAATTTTCCTAAATTAAACATACAGTATCACAAGTCTAACAAATATTTTGAGGATTTTAGTAAAAATGATGCTAAAATTAATGATGAAAAATTCTTTGTAATAGTGTTTTCTATTTGATCATTTGAAGTTAAGAAGTATGATAGTTTATATTTTCTTTCGAGGAGATATAATTGTTGCTGTTGTTATGTACCATCGATTGGGTATCAACTCAGAACTGACCCTCCAACACGTTTTCAGAGGCAGTAAATTGCTAGGGAGATTGCCCATCTTTCTTCTGCAGAGCAGCTGTTCTATTTGTGTTTAGGTTGGCATCTTAACTCTTTACCTCTAGGCTACCTAGGTTCTTAGTTGTTTGTATTTTCTTAATATTTTATAAACAAGGAAGTTACGATGTTCTATAGTCATTAAAATGAGTGCTTTGGTTTTGATGATATTTATTTAAAATTCACAGGTTGCATATGGCCAAGTTCTTGGAGTTATAGGATATTCATTACTTCCTCTCATTGTAATAGCCCCTGTGCTTTTGGTGGTTGGATCATTTGAAGTGGTGTCTACACTTATAAAAGTAAGTTAAGTAATATGTGTCATTAAAGTAGTGTGATAGTTCCTGGTGGCAAAAGTATATTGTTTCTCTGACTAAAAATATAATAGTCTCTAACTGTATATCAAACACTTGTTACTATTTTAAACAGTGACCTTACTTTCTGACCTTGATAATTATTTTTCTTTAATTTTCTTCTTTTATTCTGCTAACAATTACAATTCTATATCTCATCACCTCATTGTCATTGAGTTGGAACTTAGCTCATAGCTTACCCTCCTGTGGGGCTTTAAAACACATTGGAGGAGATTGTTTGCCTTTCTCTCAAGGTGTGTTGATGGTTTCAAACCATAAGGAGGCCCTGCCTTTGGATTTGCAGTGCCAGCTCCCTACACACTATTTTCCCTGTGGTGATAGCACACGTTTATCTGACTTAATCTTTTTGGAGAACATAATGTGCATAACAAAATGCCTCCAGAAACTCTGTGAACTTTGATAAATGTTGATAGTTCTAGAGGATCTTCGGGCCTTTTGTTCATAGAATCCTTTTGTTAATAGAGTCGCTGTGAATTTTGCTGAACTCGAAGGCAATCAAAAACAACAATGTGCATAAAATTCCACTATAAATTTATTTTATAACCGTTACCTTTGTTTAAGTAGTGACTTAACTAATATGATAAGCATGACTCTAATAATTTGGCCTTCCTATATTAATAGAGATCAGAATTTTTTTATGCTGTGTTACATTTACATTATAATACATATAAAATGACTGAATATTAAGTATTAATGGTAGTTACTTAAAATTTGACATTTTTAAATTTGGAACAATTTTGAGAAGAAAGTTAATGTGTGTATAAATATATATAATATAGTAATTTTTTTCTTAGATAATATACCTTTTTATAATTAGAACTTTCAGAACTATCATTATGTAGCCTTTCTACTACTTATTTATGAGTAGCCAGAAACACGAATTTTTTTTTTTTATGAGATTGGATTCTTTTTAAAGTTCATTAGTAATTCCAAAATAAAAGAAAATAATACCTTTCAGAAATTGGGTAAAACAGTAGATATTAAAACCAATGGCGTTTGCAACCAGTCCATTCTGAATTAACATTCTGCTTCTGACACCACTTGCTATTTTGGAAAGATTTTATTAATTTTCTTACCCTCACTTTATTCATCCACCAAGTGTAAAGCTCAACGACTTAATTTTTAGGATTTGTTACAATGATTTTTAGTACATATAATCCTAGTATAATGTCGGTCATATAGTAAACACTCAAGTGATAGCTGTTGATACTACAATTATTCTAAAACTATGTTTTGAGAGCATGTTTGAACTGTTGATTCACTTTTAAGAGTCATGAGTAAGACCTTACCTTCTGCCTGAAATTTTTGAAAAGAAAAATTAGCCATTTACCCTGTTCTTAGAACTTAATTTAAATGTCTTGCAGTGCACCAGCTGGCCCCACGCTGGCATTTAATTATCCCTGTCTTAGTGAACATACCACTTTACTGACTCATTCAGGATCACTTCCTGTTGTGTGTTGTTTTACTTGGACTAAAGCCTGTTTGAATACTTCAGAGACTACACCCCTAATTGCCAAAACTGTTGTCCTTTTACCATTTTTAGTCACATACTTCTTTTGAAAGTTGAACTTAATATTCTTCATGTACTATGAGAATATATTATTATAAAGTGGAAAAATCTGGTGTTTTTATATCATTGCAAGTTTAGGATAAAGTTATTTAAACTTAAAGGGTTTTTTGTTGTTGTTGTTTTGCCCCACTCTCCCCCCAGTTACTTAATCCTCTCTGTATAATGAACTTTTATGTGTGATTCTTGTTTAAATTCAGAGTATGTTCAGAAACATTTTAGAAAAATTTCACCAGCTAGCTCTAATATTAGAATTGTGTGTACCATCAAGTTGGAACTGACCCATAGCTGACCCTCCAGCAGGTTTTCAGAGGCAGGTAATCATATGGGAGGAGATTGCCCATCCTTTCTTCTCCCTCAGGGCTGCTGGTGGCCTCTAACCACATGCCTTCAGGATTCCAGCACGGGTTCTTGCCCCCCCTAAGCCAACAGACTCCCAAATATTAGAATATATAGTCTGATATACAAGAAACCTAATTTTATTGAAAATTAAATCTCTAGGGAGTTAGCAATCTTTGATCAGTGGTTCAGGTTTGATAAGAAAAGACTAATACAAACCGGAAAGAGATGAGAAATAACAAATTAATAAATTTTACTCTTTATTATAATTTCAAGAGTTACTTTCAAAAATATTATAAATAGTATTTTTACTGCAGGATATGTAAAAAAAAAAGAGCTATGACACAGTGGTTAAAGTATTTGACTGCTGACCTTCCAATTGTTGGTTCAAACCCTCCATCCACAGGATGGAGATGCAGCAGTCTGCTCCTGTAAAGATTTATAGCATTGGAGACAATGTGGAACAGTGACACTCTGTCCTATAGGGTCCTTTTGAGTGGAAATCTCTTGGCTTCTGGCAGTTTTCAGTTTGGGATTTTATATGCAATAATTTATTTAATTTGCTAATGTGTTGCCTTTTGTCTCTTTTTCTTTTTAAAGCTATTTGGCGTGTTTTGGGCTGCCTACAGTGCTGCTTCATTGTTAGTGAGTGAAGAATTCAAGACCAAAAAGCCTCTCTTGATTTACCCAATCTTTTTATTATACATTTATTTTTTGTCTTTATATACTGGGGTGTGATTTGAAAAAGTTAGACTCAAGTGGAGAAAAAGACAATGTTATAATGCGTGTGGACTTGGTATTCTTGCTGAGAAGGTTGGGAAAAAACCTTGCAGATAAAATTTTACACATTCTAAATGTAAAGACAGAATTAAGGTCTTTTAAAAGAAAAAAAAATTATTTTGTATTTAATGAAACATTTGCAGATACTTGGAGTTTTTTCCATCAGAATTCTAACATCTGTTTGATTGTTCATATGCCAGTGAATAAAATATAAAAGCATTGTGTTTTTAAAATTGTGTCAATACTCACCTAAAAACTTGTGCCAAAAGCACCTGGATTGGTAATTATGTTTCAGTTGAAGGATAAATATGACAAGATCTTGATAATTTAGAAGTGCAATTTTTTCCCCTCTAACAAGTTTTTTCCCTTCAACACAGATCCTGTAGATATATATTTATATTTATACAAATATATTTATGAAATAATTCTTATTCACAAAAATCTATTTCTGAATAACCAGAAAGTTAAGAAGTTTTAAACCTGATGCTTAACCTTCCTTTAATTTGGCCATTAAGCTTTTATTATTTAAATTTGTTTATTAAATTCTGTATAATCTTAAAAATCTCATACATGTTTCAGTGCTTTGTTAAAAATTCTTAACTACTGAAAAATTTTAATAGTTGCAAATGTAGATTTGGTTTGTTTAGATGTGCTCTGAAAACCATTTTGAGTGTCTAAGCCTCTGAGTTAAAGTTTCTGTTTATCTTTCTGACCAAAGGAACAAGAAGTATAGTGCATATGGTATTCATTAAAATTGTCAATATGTAGGAAACCAGTAATATTTAGAGCATCAGTAATTATTTTTAAAATGATATTCCTAAATCACAAAGTTACTGCAAGAGACCATTAAAAGCTTGTGGTCTTGAACAATGTTATATGAACTAGAAAATAATAAAATACTTCCCAGCTTTGTGTTTTATTTTGTAATACCTTGTTCTGTATTACTTATTAGTTGAATAGGTATCAATACTTGTTCAAAGATTCCCTTATCAAAGTTTTGCTAAGAAAAAGAAGAATTTTTGAATACTGAAAGTTTGTTGCATATAGTTTCATAGGCTCTAGATGTTGCTTTTATAGTTATTGTTATGTATTTTTATATCCATAAAATTGCAATGCCTGTTAACTGTTAACATATCCTTTCTGATCTCAGCTGAAAGAGTTAACCGCTATCCTTAGATGGCCATCTCTTAGCATTCTGCAAGCAAGCATATCCGTCAGGAAATACTCAGAAATTCTTAAAGCAAGTCTACAAATACCAAAAGTCCATCTCTATTCCCTAACACCTCTAATGTGCAAACCAGTTTCCTTGAGTCAATTCTGACACTTTAACTCATAGTGACCCTGTCAGACAAACTAGAACTACAGGTTGTAAGGCTGTAATCTTTATAAAAATAGACAGCCACATCTTTCTCCTTCTGAGCAGCTGGTGAGTTCTAACGGCTGATCTTTCGTCTTAGTCATGTGCTTTGGCCACTGCACCTCTAGGATTCTTTTGAATCCACCCCCACCCCTACCTCATGCCCCCCTTAAAAAAGAAAATGTAAACTTAGTTTTTAAGCAACAGGAAAAATAGGGCTACCTTTGAACCAGCATGAAAAATTATATGTACTGGTTTTTTTCTTAACAGCTATGGAAAAATAAAAGCACTGGAGAGGTAGAACTTCAGAACTTAAAATACTTTGTCAAAGTAGTGAGGAAAGATCTGGGGCTACCTTAGCTATAATTCAAGTAAACATTTGTCATATTCACTCGTTCTCTAAATCATTACTTTATCATAATGGGTTAATGTAGTTCATGTTTACATTACTCTGATACTTTCTAAAAGTCTAAAGGGTCAGTTCTAAGGAGTGAAGTTAGTCACTCCTTAGAGTGACTTTTATTAAGTCAAAGCATTTTAGGAACATTGTTGTTGTTGTTTGGTGTCGTCGAGTCGTAGATGACTCATAGTGACCCTATTAACGAATGGCCTGAGCACCGTTCATACATAGAGTTTCTGGAGGCAAGCCATTTTGGAAGTGGATGCCGCTCCTGCTTTCAGGCTTGTTTTAGTCGGGAAGCTCCAGCCAACACTGTCCACC